AATTTTCTGAAAAGTAAATAAAAGAAACGTTCTCTTTGTGGTGAGAGCAGGACAAGGAAGACTGTGATTTTCGAATAGGAAAAATGATGACCATCTAATGAAAAACAAAAATGTCAGCTGATGTGATTATGAGCTAGTGTTGTTGGCCTGTTTAGCCTCACGTTGTTCACTGTTGTCTGCTGCCGTAGGCACGCACCGGGTTTTAGGAGAAAGGCCGAAACCTTCTTGCCTTCTTCTTAATTGATGCGGTATTTGTCGAACGCGATCGACCGGTAGGGTGGCCGAGCGGTCTAAGGCGCTGGTTTTAGGCACCAGTCTCTTCGGAGGCGCGGGTTCGAATCCCGCCCCTGCCAATGAGTTTTTGCGCAATCTTGAAACGCAAAGCTTTCTTTTTATCCTCCACCTTACTTGTACTATAACTTTTGCTCTTTTTCACGGTCATGTTTAACAAACGCTGATGCAAAGCGCGCTGAAACGGTTAGTCTGCAAACGATTCTGTTATTTGTAACGTGCAAAACTCGCATTTGCTTCAGAAATCTCTCCGATAACCTTAAATTCTAAGCGCGAATCGATTACAATAAACGCATTGAGCAAACGTAGCAATGTCAATAAAGAGGTTGCGGATGACGTTTTTAACGCGAAAACGTGTACGTCGGACGTTCAGCGCCGCCTTCCTGTAAGCCTAGAAGTTTGACAATGCTGTTTGGAACGTCAGTAGAATCATGCTCGACGTTCTACACGCCATTGTCAAACTTCTAGGCTTACAGGAAGGCGGCGCTGAACGTCCGACGTACACGTTTTCGCGTTTTAACGCGAAAACGTTTTAACGTCATCCGCAACCTCTCTATTGTTTGTTCATTTTTGTACGAATCGACAAAAAGCGACGATTTGATTTGCATACATCGACGCAAAACAACGTATTAACTGGCAGGGGTGAGATTCGAACCCACGCCTCCGAAGAGACTGGTGCCTTAAATCAGCGCCTTAGACCGCTCGGCCACCCTATCAACTGCTTGCATCGTTATCAAAATTTTAACTGTGCATGCTGACTGACACTTCGAAAACACAATGGATAAAGTTCTCGTGTAGTAACCAATCCTTTGCCGCAGAGATTGACTACCAGTAATCGAGTTATCTTAAAAGCGAAAACTAAACACGTGCACACCCTGCTCTATGAAAACAGAGAGGTCAGGTCTCGTGCTGACGTCACTAACTTGGCATTCCTGGCTAACATTGTAGAATAGGGATCTGGCTATCCTTGTAGTATATAGTCCTTGAACACGGCCTTTTAAATCTGAGTGTCTATAAAACCATAGTTTTGACTGACTGTAATCGTATTTACTTATTCCGGTTAAAAATCGCCCATTAATTGCGTGTACAATTTTTGAGCCACTTTTGACCCCTTCCCTCCGTTTTGAATCGCGTACAAAATTTCATTGATTCCGATATTGAAGAAACGACTTCAAAAAGTTCTGCAAACTTTTGTTTTTACATTCACATAGGGCCATACTGAACAGTTTTGGCATTTAACCTTTTTTTGTCTGTTAAAGATAGCGTTGATAAAGTAGAGAAGTTGTTCTTGAAACAGTTTACCAGAATTAATTCCACTAAAATTACTTTTTTTGTATTTTTGTAATTTCTTACTACAAAAGTAGAAAAAAAAGTACAGTTAGGCCAAGACTCTACTACCGTAAAAATGGCGTAAAATCCCTCGCCGTAAAAGCTTTTAATCACGTGACCCTGATATTTTACGACCTGCTCAGGCGTAAAATATTTTACGGCGAAGGGTTTTACGTTGTTTTTACGGTAGTAGAGTCTCGGCCTTAGGGCGTAAATGTGATTTTTGTAAAAGGTGCACAAAATGTTAGCAACCCGCAACGCTCATAACCATAAATCAGAGTGTATACGTAATTAATGGAGGTCCTTTACTTGGATATTCAATTGTACTGTAGTAAATATATTGCATGCATAATGGATTTTTTATGTCAAAGTGCTTTTGGCTTTGTCCCTCCCCCATTCGTTCCAATAGATTTTGAATAATAATACAATTCATTTATAGAGTATCAAGTTTTCTTTCTGTAACTTGTTTTGAAATCTTAGATAACCAATGTTAGAAATAAGCATTTCATAGTTATTCATCTGGATTACCCGAAATTTCAATTTTCATTATAACAATACGTTTTTTTTTTTATTTAAAAAAACGTATTAAAAAAATAATAATTTATATACCGTGTTTCCCCGAAAATAAGACAGTGTCTTACATTAATTTTTGCTCTGAAAAATGCGCTAGGTCTTATTTTCAGGGAATGTCTTATTTTTTTCCAGGAAGAAGAATTCACATTTATTATTGAACAAAAAAAATTCCCAAGTCGAACTTACAAGTTAGACGAGAGTGACGTATATCCGATGTGTCGAACTGTCGCCTTTTTATAGCGTCAACATCGGACTCGATGACCAATTACTCGACCGTAGCACTATGCAAATGTCATGTTGCGTGATTCCCGGCCGACCAATTAGCCATCACCAGCCGTAACGTTATGCAAATTATGATTTCCAAGCCATAGTCTTATGCAAATCATGCCATGTGGCGTATTGTCTGCTGACCAATCAGTGGCTGTACTTTCAAAAAGCCAACGGCCACTTTCAACCATCTGTCGATGACCATTACGACTAAAAAAAACTTCGCTAGGTCTTACTTTCAGGGGGAGGTCTTATATTTCGCAATTCAGCAAAATCTGTGCTAGGTCTTATTTTCTGCGGATGTCTTATTTTCGGGGAAACACGGTAGTAACTGTTTATAGTATATTTTCCAAAGTATAGGTATACTTTCTAAAATTATATATTCTATTGATGAGTCATGTGTAGCTTTATTCGTTTTCCTTTGGTAAAAGTGAATACACTGTTCTAAAATAAATAATTACTTCAACTGAAAATTGAACTGATAATTGAGTTTCACAGTGCTTCCGTGCAATATTGCATATGCTTGTAATCAGTAAGAAAATTTTTAATTTAAATGGCATGGTAAAATAAAAAGAGATGATCGTAAGTAGAAAAAAATTACACGAAGTGTTTCACTTGTGTTTTATTTATTTCAATTCATATAATTGGGTAATCTGAGATGGTGCCCATATAAGGTTTTTTATTATCTACCAGATAAGCCTTAAGTTCATTAAATATTTTATACGCAGAAGTGCGCGTGTCAGAGATGTAATCAGTGCTATCCATGCTAACATAGTATAATTACATCAACCAGAAAGAGTGGTGATAAATGTAGAATAGGAAAAGTTTGTCCAAATGCCTACAAAACTCTGCAGTAGCAAACAAGGTTTATAGCTAAAGCAGAGGGAAAAAACTGGTTGGTGGTAGCAACAGAGGTAAACACTCAAGGCTCAGAAAGTCTTCAGTGCGAGTTCCGGTGAGGTTAGGAAGTATCCACGCAGGGGTAATCCAGTAAAAGAAAAGCGTGTAGTGTTGGAAAACAATTAAACACAAAGAAGACACTTCAGAACTAAAACACAACAAGCAGAATGTCCACACAGGAAGAAACACCACAATTATCCGAGACAGCTGAAACATAACCATTCGAAAACACATAGTAGTACTTACATTAACAAGCCTGTGTTCTTTACAAAGCTGGAACTTTTTACGAGATAGATTTTAAACTATTAAACAACGGAACTTTTTACGAGATAGATAAAAAGTAGCGTTTCGTTTGTATTCTCTTATATACGTACAGTACAGTAGTATAGTATCTTCTCGGCTTATGGCTGAGATCGAATGTGTGTATCTGGTTCCCGCTTAAATATACTAAAAATACAGAACAAAAAAATAAAAGAACTAACAATTAACTTACAATTTTCAGACTTTAAACAAATACAAATACAGCAAATCCATTAGACTGTGTCAAGCCAAGTGCCCTGTTAGAGTTTTCATTTAACAATGTGATGTGATTTTACTCCCACATCTGTTTAGCGTCTGTTTCAGGGTTATGTATGAAAAATTAATTTTCTCAAGCTAGTCCGTTTACAAACTTGTCAACGCACTCGTTATTAACAAGTATAAATTGATATTTAAAAGTTCGTGTAAATTAATTATTTAAATTGTTCTCAGATGATCAGCGCAGTCTATCCTTGCTCACACAATTGTTGGATACTCGCAACCAATGCAAAGTGACGAATAAAATTGAAACTTATGTAAATAATACGAGTAATTAATGCCGGTTTATTGTGACTTCTATAGATACGAACGCAAAGTCCAACAGATAGCATTAAAAATACCTAGAGAAGTCTTTTAAAAACTCTCGAAAAATGTGGATAAAACCAAACGCTTTATATACGTTTGAATCCTGTACAATTCTTCAATCAAAGTACGCTTGAAAATTTAGAAAAAAATTCGTTAATATTCTAAAAAGTTTTAACACGTAGAAAATCATAGAAATTCAACGAATTCGATTAAAAAATCGACCCGAGCGGAACTCGAACTCGCAGCTTCCGCTTTTGTTTTTCTTCCAGAATACAGTTGACCCCCTATAACACTGTTGATAATTCCGTGTTATATGAATTCCATGTTGTAGGAATCACTTAGATTTTACAAATACATACGTGAGCTTGGCTGCGAAGGCTGAGATATTTGTAAAATGTAAGTGACTCGTACAACATGGAATCCATATAACATGAAATTATCAACAGTGTTATAGGGGGGTCAACTGTAGTCTTAATTTATTGTTTACAAAACTTATTTAAAAATTTATTGTTTACAAAAGTTTTCTTACAAATACAGTTTGAATTCTCACATGAAACGCCTTAGCAAAAAGATTCTTAATTAACATAAACATAAAAGTTCGAAATTTGGAAAAAATGATATAATACCCAACCTTGATGTGAATTCATTTCCTACGACTTTCAGTTTTTCTATCTGACAATATAACAAATTAAAAACTTATAGTGAAAAAAACAACCCACATTTACTCCAACGGGACTCGAAACAACAACCACGTCAATATGAAACTACTGCACCACGATTACACCACTGGCCCCATTGACAACAACGTAAACTATAAAGCTGTTAACTGATTGCGAAGTGACTTCAACATCATGCTGTTACTCGTAAGCACATAATGGTCCACTTAGTTATATGCTAATTTCTTAGATACGTATATACGTGAGATCACAATAAATACACATATAAAGCCAGTTTTAATGTTGGTTATACAGAATATACAAGTAATGCAATTAAAAAATTAGGTGTTCCTCCGGAGAGGCGGTGACGTCAAAGTCATGTGGCATCTGCAGCCAATTACCGCGATGATTTCTTTCTACTTCTAAGGGCGTGTTGCCTCCGTTCTTCGTCGTCATACTCGAGAGTTCAGGCGAAAACGAGCCGAAGAAATGGCGGTCCCAGAGGTGCAGAGTCGGTATGTAGTTGTATTTTCTGTTTATAGCGTTTCTATATGTGTGGGCGCAAAACCATTTTACGTGTTTTGCTATTGGCTATCGTATGTTTCTTTATAAAAAAATTTGAGAAAGAAAGCGATGATGTACTGCTATCGAAAGCTTAAAATATAACGTGATAAATGATATAAGTTAATTTTCTGTCTGTTACTTGTACTTATTTCATCACATATGTTCACGTCAAATGAACATACTTTTACTGAATTTTTATATATAAATTTTCTAGAATATTTAATTAAACTAAAAGTATTTAATCAACAAAATTTTCAATTATCTTACTGGAGATAATAACTAAGCAAAACTTCACAAAAAGCTTATTCCCTTATGTAAATAACCGTCTGTTTATAATGTTCGAACTTGAGAAATAGAATCTTCCACTTCTAGGGTTCAAAGGGTTTAAGTAGATTAAAATTTTCATTCTCTTGGTGAAATAATTTTCGGTCTTTAAAGTTTGAGTTAATAAGCTTTCTTTAATTTTCAATATACAAATGCTTAATACTCATTTTTTGTACAAGATTTAGTTCGGGTAGTTCAGTGTTTCTTGACATGTAAATCGCAAATCCCTCAATTCCATCAACATGTAAAAGTGGTATTTATTTGTTTAAGGCAGTTGAATGAATGGAAGGAAATGAATTACATTTTGTAAACAGATTTGATTAAAATTAATTTGATGCCAATATTTTGAATAATATATTTTATTGATAATTATTTATATTAAGATCGTTAAGCGTTTTCTCTTAACTCTATTTTAAATCAGCATATTTAGTACACATTTTAAACACAATAAAAATAAAATGTTTCATTTAAAACAATAGATCTAATACATGTTAAAGCCGCACTTCGTAAATGTTATTTGTTTAATTATTACAAGTTTCACATGAAAGTACAAAATAACATTACAGAGAAATTTACTTATTCGACCGGTTTATTTATCGGTCTGCAAAGCAGAAGAAATCCTGTTCAGAATAAATATATAGGTACGACAGTGTTAAACTCCTTTCTTTTGTAAGCGACAAGGAACCATATGATGCCTCCAGGCATTGGGTAGCCACAAGCAATGCGATTACGCGCTAGGTGGGCCTTTAACTAATAACTTATCAGTTATAGCAGTGTTTCTCATTTTCTAATGTATCATTGTCCCCTTCAACTTAGTATCGCCCCCTTCAATAAAACCCTTACGTAGTATCGCCCCTTTTATTTCAAAATTCCGATGCCGAGGGCCAAGTCTAACGCCAAATTCGTACTGCACCGAGTAGTGTAATGTTATAGTCACTAGTACGTTATTTGTTTAATTTTTGTACGATATAACGAATAAAATATTTAATTATTCTTAATATAATGTTTTACTATATCGCCCAGAAAATTGTTTTTCTTCCTTCCAAATATATATTGTCACTAATCGCCCCCTCAACATGGAAAAACGCCCACATGGGAACGATATCGCTTCCGTTGAGAAACACAGAGTTAAAGGCTTTTTTTCAGTTTTGTAATGTAAACTTGTAATTATGCTTTGTGTGAATGTCAGATCCACACGAAGAGAAAATTTAATTTTTAATTACAAAGCATCGATGTCCGTTTATTTAGAACAGCGTTTCTCAAAGTGGTCAATAACGCCCCGTTGTGAACGATGAGTAGAATTAGTGGGCGCTGGAGGCAGAGTATTGAACGGTGACCAAAGGCAATAAGGGCTTATAAGAGGAAACATTGCGTTTAATGGTTTCCAGATGTTGAGAACAATGTTTGGTAAAGGCACAAAGTGTGAGATTCATAGAAAAGTTATTTTAATAATATTTCCAATCCTTTTTCACAAAAGAGAAAATGGATTAGGGGGCGTTGGGTATAACTTTATAGAACAAACGGGGCCTAGGATCGAAAAAGTTTGGGAATCACTGATTTATAAGATACGAAATAAGTGTTGTTGAAAAAAAGACCTGAAGATTTTATCATCTGTTATTGAATATAACATATAATGGTTAATTCTTTGTAAAATTAGACTTTCGTAATTTATTTCAGAGTCTAAAAAAATCTCTAGCTTCCCTCTCTTAGCGAACTTGTTTAATTACTTTTTAAAATGGATGATGATTCATTAAAATTATGTTAGCATAATGATTTTTTACTTTGAAGCTTTAGGCTTGTATAACAAAATAATGGAAAATTTTAAAAAAATCGCAGTTAGGGACTAGCATTATTAGTTATAACAATACAGTATACAATGACCTATACAAACAGAGATTCAGAATACGCTATATTACAGAAAAATCAATTATTATTCGTAGACATTTACAAAACAATTCCACACGAATCGTGGGGTATTTACAATTTTTATAACGAAAAATGTACAAACAAGTTTTTGTTTTTTAATGTTTTTTTTTAAATTCTACTCAGGGAAGTTAAAAGAATACGTATTGAAGATACATTTATTTAACAAAGGACCGTCGATAATCAGTCAAAAACTATACACATACACAAAAATCTTTACATTAACAAAAGGTCACTTTGATATTAGTAATAATATATATTGGTAATCAAATAATATCTCTGCTTTATCATACAAAGTGTCGCCTTTTCAATATGCAGGAATATCTTTTTTATATTAACCTGATTTTATTTCGGACTACGCTCCTTTTCAGTCTACTGAAGGGCATATTTCGAAATTATTCTTTGTTCATAGAATAGAGATGTCTTTTCTTTTCAAAAATACAGCTTTTCCTGGTAAGATAGCTCCTAGGAAATAAAATTTGATTATCGCGGAACCATCAAAACCCAAGATGATAAGCTAATACAAAAACTTTAATATNTAAAGGGCATATCCCGAAAAAATTCTTTGTTGATAGAATAGAGATGTCGTTTCTTTTAAAAAATGCAGCGTTTCCTGGTACGATAGCTCATAGGAAATAAAACTTGATTATCGCGGAACCATCAAAACCCAAGATGATAAGCTAATACAATACAAAAACTTTAATATCTATTTTTAAATTATTAGTAATGCATTTATTTATACACCATTGTCGGAAATATTACAACTAACGTACAGTACAACAGACATGTTTGTTTCAAAGTAATAATAAATACCTTTGTATTGTTTTAGGATTTCTTCGAGTAAGATACGAATTCAAAACAAAGAAAACGAAGAAATTATTATATCAGAAGCTCAGTTAAATAAAGTATTGAACAGGCAATTGAAGCATCACATCATATATTTTGAAAATTCGAAAGTACTGTTGATGCCTTATCCAATCCAGATCATCAGACAATTCGTTACGTAAGTCTTTGCGAAACTTACCTTTCATTTTATTTCAATTTATCGTCATAAATTATAATTTATATTTTTTTAAACAGTTATTTACAGACGGACGATCCCGAATTGACCTGTTTTACACACGCTTTCCATCTGTATCATCTGAGTTCAAGATACGAGTTAGAAAATTTAAGAAACAAATGCAAATCTTTTATCATCCAAGAAATGAATCTGCATAATGTCTGTTCAATTCACGATTTTGCACGTAAGATCGGTGATCTGCTCATAACTTATTATTGCTGGCAAGTTTTCGACGAACACGGAGAAAGACTATTTACAACAATCGACTTTAAGTGCTGTAAAATTGCAACAATTGATAGACTGTTATCTCGAGCGATATACGAATCAGTCAGTGAATTGCTTTTACTCGGAGCCGTGTATCAGTGGAGCATAGAAGAAGTTAAAAGAAAATTGGGGGCACACAACTTCCATTCGATGAGAAAAGGATCGAAAAGAAATGCAATAAGAAATGTCATGAAGCCATTTATTGGAAAAGTCAGATTTCTTGCCATGAATGAAGACGAATTGCAATCTTGTGTTTTTACAATGAACTTGTTAAGCGAAGTAGAGAAGAGTCATATCTGGCATGCTTTTAAGACTGGTAATTACTCCTTTTATCCCAGTTACTTCAGTCGAGAAACAAAAACCAGAAGCAGAATAAATTATTTTAGCTTGTTCTTGTACATCAATCGTGGAGATCCGTTTATGGTCGCAAACAGAGAGATGAAAGATTACATATATTTTAGCAGCGAAGTAGTTGTGAGAGAAGATTGTTACGTCACGACTCTTCGATTTCCGTTGAAGCTTGGCGAGAGTTTTCCAATGTACGTATACGCGTATATTAACTCTTTGGACAACGGACAGTTTTCATTTGACACTGTTTGCAATTCAGAGGGAGTAGCATATCTGGAAACATATTTTTATCTAGAAAAATCTTGGTCAATTCGTTTATTTGCTTTCTTTTACCGCGCTGAAAATGTCCAACCCGATATCGAGTTTTCACCTGAACTGAGTTACTTTGTGAGCGACGAAGGAACAGATGCAAGGAAATTTGAAGACAAATTTCTAACCTGTGACAGAATCCTTGTGAATAATATTTACTTTTCAGTTGATTTATATTTTTGAAGTCAAAAGTTTCACTGGAAAAAATCGAAATTTAAACGAGAATATAATGTAATGTTAAATTCGAATATAATTATTTCTTATTGTATCACTGTATAATTTCTGCAAAATGTGTGTACCTGAATTTATTGTGTTTACAGAAAACGAAATTTAAATCTAAAGTGTTTATTAATGTAATTTTTTTTCCTGAAATGTAAATTGTCATTAGTCGAGTTGTTTATATTTCAAAATTTAGTATTTGCAAATATATCACCATCAAGAACGTTTATAATTGTCAGAATTTGAATGATAATTACGTGCGTGATTTTCATTTTTTGTTGCAGTAGATGTTCGAGAAAAAAATATAATTACAATCATACAGCATTATTCCTTTCTTTTTTCATGTTAATAACGATAGAAATCAGAAGTGTTAAAACTAAAATTTTGTCTAGATGTATGAGCTAATCGATATCCACGTTTGAATTTTATTATTTACAGTATTGTTCTTTGTATTTGTTGTATAAAATGTGATGTTTTTTCCTATTCTTTTCATCTACCACTCTTTGCGTAAATTTAATTGGTTCAAATTTGATTTTTTGAAGTGAATGTGTCCGGAACTTTTACCTGGTTACTGACATTTTCCGTTGAAAGAACAGTGCGTTTAGAAAGAGTTGATTGCAGAATTTCTACAGCAGCAGTTTGCATAAAAGATCACTATTCAAAAGAAGCTTTACAAGGTGTAGTTTTAATACTACGGGATTACACTTTGGTAGTTTTGTTAGCGGTACTGTACTTATTTTTAATACTAAACAATGAAACATTGAAGACCATTCAGAAATTTTCGATGAATTTTTTTAAAATGTACAATTTCTAAAAATAAATAATAAATATTTATTTANCAGAAGAGGCCCGTAAAACATCGTATAGAAAACAGGACTTACTAAAGCAAAAATGAATTTGTGTCCATTCAAAACCACAATCGATTCATTTTCATAGTTTATTTCAAATTTAATATCAGAATATAAATTTTTCTTAAAAATAAAAGAAAGTCGTTCTGCAAATGTTTTCATATTCAATCGCCAGTTGTTAGGTCTTTTAGGCTGAAAATAAGAATTAAACAATAATTCAAATTATTGTTAATAATCATTAATATATTTTATTTTCCAAAAATTAAAACTTACCATTTCATTGATTAGATTTTGATAATATATTACATATTTATTATTTGTTCCTACTTTAAAATTTACATTAATATATTTTATTTTGTGGCAATTTTAATGATGATGGTTTATTGCATGCCTGTTTTATAAATTTATACTTCGTCTTTGTACTAAACATATTAAGTAATTTTTTAAAATTTACTTCTGTTTTGTAAAATACTAACAGAAGACATTAATTACTTAGTGTTATTTTTTCCTTTAATTGAATAGAATGCCAATTTCCTATAACATGCTAGAGTCGAAATTTCTTTTGAGTTCGGCCCTTTTTCCTTAACATAGAGTATAACATAACACACGTAAAACTTATTTATTCAAAAAGTAAAAAAAACCGTAGAACAATACAGAAAATTGTTAGACAAAAATGCTATTTTAATTACAACTTGTAGGAATTAGTATTTTTCTTATCACTTTGACTTATTTCTAGCTTTATAGATGTAATAGGCAAATTTGTGGTCTGTTAAGGCTGTATTCTTCAATATGTTTAGTGTTTACACGCATTAATTAAAAACATAGAATTTAATTTGTGATAATTTATATTATAATAAAAATATTTGTTAGATACATTTTAGAATTTTATTATATATGTTACCGCTAAAGCTCGAAATCCGTTAATGTGCGCATTACCTAGCTAATCTGCAGATTAACTAGGGTGGTCCGTTAAAGCTGCGAAAATTATTCCATTTCTCAAATTACCTAGGTAATGTTCAGATTATCTAGGTAATCTGCAAATTACCTACTAGGCACTCGGTAAAGTGAAAATAAGATTTTTGCTGGAACAACAGCAACGTTTCTGTACGCTTAAATTAACATAATGTTATTTATTTAATTTTCAATATCTAAAGAATCAAGTTAATACAATCAACAAATTAGTTGATTGAATCAATCATCAATCAATTAAAAAAACTTTAATACAAAAATCAAACGGTTTAAAATATTACTACAATTAGGGAAATGAATTTGCAAAACATATGATAAAATTGTACTTACTTATTAGTGCAATCTAAAGATTGGTGACACTTTGAATTACGTAGCAATTGGTTTTTGCGACAAGCACGCCTATTTGTGGTACATTTAGATTTGCAGTCACATTTTCTGAAACCCTGCCCAGTACCAAGGGATTGTTTTATTGCTGTTTGACGTAAAGATATTTCTACAGCAGGGACATCCATCTTCTTTCGTTAAAAATCTCTCTTTGCAAACACTGAATTCAGATTTTGCATACAATTGTTTTAAAATACCTGTTTTAGTATCAAGTTTATAAAAGCCATCCTCTGTTTTACTAAGAACCACAGCTAAAATTGAACGTGCATCAGTTTTTGCTCTGTCTTCTTCGGGTACTTTAATTCTCACAGCGAAACCTTCATCGACGTTTGGGTGCTTTGCATTAGAAACTGCTAACATTTTCTTTGCTTGCTTTTCTAAACATTTCTTGGCTTCATCACGCTGTATTTTCTGATCCATATTCTTTTTACAGATGATGCACAATACATTCTTACCATACCCTTCCTCTTTAGGATCTACTTCACCACAAACTGCGTGAACAAACATATTACACGATTTACACTTGTGAGCACTTGATGCTGCTTTTGAGCAAACAATACAGACTATGTCTTGTATAGTGCTCTTTACAGGCTCCGTACGAAACTGTGATGGCGATTCTGCTGAAGTTGAGAGTAACTCAGTGATGACTTCTTCAACTTGCAGAGGCGATTCCTTGGAGGTGCAGGGTAACTGAATATTCTTCGTGACTGCATCATCAATCAACGGTATAGAAGGCAGTTTAAGAATACTATCGGTAAATTCTTGTATTTCTATAGGTGATTCTGTAGAAGCGGGGGATAACGGAATGTCCTCTTGAGTAAGATTTGACTGTGATCTCATAATCACAGTCTTTTGTAAATCTTCTAATTTTTGTCTTCTTCAGTTTTTATGGAATGTTAAACAATTCTCCGGCATGGACAAACTTTTTCAAACTTTTCTCGCGCATCTGACAACGGCTCAATGAGTTTTTCACAGCCTCGTACAGTCAACACATCACAACTTTGCATTATTTGATAATTTCGAGCTGATTCTTTCTTCTTGGAAACTTTTATTTGCTTTACATCTTCAATTATGGAATCATACTTTGGTTTTTTATTAAAAAACTACGTATTATATTTTAAATCTTCGCTAAAGAGGTTTGCGAAGAATCTTTTCTTGATTTTACTCACCAATTCGGTGCTTGCTTGCATTCTAGGATTTAAATTTATCTACGTAAAAAGAAGGAGTGGGGAAAGGAAGTGAAAGAAACAAACTTTTGAACTTTAACGATACGGAAGCCGTTAATGTGCAGACTACCTAGATATACTGCAAATTACCTAGGTAATTTGAGAAATTGAACAATTTTCGCAGCTTTAACGAATCACCCTAGTTAATCTGCAGATTAGCTAGGTAATGTACACATTAACGAATTTCGAGCTTTAGCGGTAACATATGAATAAATACATGACCAATATTTTCAAAATCAATATTAATGTTTTTGTATTAGCTTATCATCTTCGGTTTTGATGGCTCCGCGTTAATCAAGTATTATTTCCTAGGAGCTATCGTACCAGGAAACGCTGCATTTTTTAAAAGAAAAGACAATTCTATCTCATGAACAGGGAAGTATTTCGGGATATGTTTTTCAGTAGAGTGAAGAGGGCCGTAGCCCGATATACAATCCTATTAATAAAATAAAGATATCCCTGCATATTTTAAAGGAGACACTTCGTATGATAGGGCAGATATATTATTTGATTATCAATAGGTATTAATACTAATATTAAAGTCACCTTTTGTTAATGCAAATACTTTTGTGTATGTGTATTGTTTTTGAGGGAATATCGACGGTTTTTTTGTTAATTAATAAAATAAATGTATTTTCGATACTTCTTCTATCACTATCCGACTAAAATTTTTAATAAAATTTATTTTATTTATTTTATTAAATAAATAAAATAAAAGAAAACTTTTTTCTCTGTACAGTTTTCGTAATAGAAAATTTAAATAATCCAGGATTCGAGTGGAATTGTTTTGTAATTCTCTACGAACAATAATTTATCTTTCTGTAACTTATCGTATTCTGAATCTATTCCTGAAATTTTCCATTATTTTTTTATACAAGTCTAAAGCTTGAAAGTAAATAATCATTAATCTAACAGAATATTCATGAATCGACATCTATTGTAAAAAGTGATTAAACAAGTTCGTTAAGAGGGGAAAGCTGGAGATTTTTTCAACCATGTTTCAATTTATGTTTCAACTATTTAATTTTTCAATTTATCTCTTCACAAAACTCAAGAACCAATGTAAGTTTGCATCATTAAAATTCAATTAAATTCTTTTATTAATAGATATTTAAGACAGGGGTGCCTTATGTTAATTAATTACACTGTTTAATTAACATTGTATATTATTACTCTTAACGGAATATGGGTGACACTTTATTAATCGGCTACCAGACCGACCGGTAAGGTGTTAGCCATATAACATCAATAGAATTAGTCAGATGAGTGAGAGAAGGGAACGACATTCAAGACCTTTAGTAGGGTCTGTGTAAACTTATGAAGCTCTCGATATGGATAAATCTTTAAAGCAAAAATTTAAACTGGTATCTCTAACCGGAAGTGATGGTTATCCCCTGTACAGAAAATCAAATCCAGAAGGTGAAGAATTTCTCACAACAACGAGAGTGAAAACTAACAGTGCATATACTGAAATAGAAATGAACAACAAAGGGACAGTTCCTTGCTCACATCTGCATTCAAAATTGATCTAATAGGCGCTCTGTATCATTACTGCATCATTAGTAAATAGCACTCACCTGCCTGGGTGGAAAGTGTTACACCATACAAACTATATAAGTAATTAATTTTTCACATCTAACAACTTGGGTAATTTCATTTCTAAATGGTACTTTTTTAACTCTAATAATTTGTTATTATTAAACTCGTTTTTTCTAAGGACATAATTCCCACGTAGTTTTAGACATTCTGATAATGTTCTTAAAATGAGTCATGAGCTGGACCATCACAACCTATTCAATGCGGATCAAATATTAATGTACTCCGAAGACTTCCTAAAGCATCTTTACATTTCCAGGTTATGCTGTGAAAAGTATTGTTTTTCCATTTCTGGTATTAAAGTCAAATTACTAAATCTAAGGACTCGGATATTTTTCTTCTTAAACAGAATTTTCGTAAAATTAATAATTTATTATGTTTTAAAATTTTCTTTTATAATCCCAAGTAACGCCAAGTAAGCTAGTAAATTTATAAATTTGAATTTTTAGGATGTAGATGCAAATACACTTGACCAAGCTCCAGAATTTATTGTGGTGAGTGTTATCTTATGAATATTAATATGAGCAGATCGCGGAAATAACTATTTTGGGGCACGCAGACAGTCGAAGAACTACAGAAATTTTTGGTTGGCGATTTTAATAAGAATATGTTGGGTTCTATTTTTTCCACCTGTCGCATATAAGATGAATCTGCCTGAATGACACTTGATGACCCTTAAGATGGACATTTAAAGAAAATTTCTTTTACAGAACTTCTTAGAATTGAATTTATTACGGTCAGAATTTTGTTCTTATTGCTAATTTATGCATGAACGTTGGATGATATTGTTGAAGGAGATAAAGGAAAAAAAGGAAAAAAACGAAATAAGAATTGAGGAAAAGTTATTCTTTTACATTTTAATATAGAAATTACTACAGAAAATTTGAACGACTTTTAGAATCGTGCAGTTTGTAATACGAGCATTAAACCATAAAAATTAGTGCAAAAACTTTTGATATTGAAATCACTGTCTTTTATATCAAAATACGGGATCGTCGGAAAGTTATTTAAGAAAAATTAACGTGTAGGGTCCCATTTTTGTAGGGTCCCATTATCCGGTTGCCAATAATGGATATGAAAAAGAAGTCCACTTATTCGCTACTCTGAAAAGCAGTGTTAAAAGCAGGGC